TCAATTCAGAGATCTGTTCCTTCCCATATTGACTGTAATTTTCTAAGTTTAAAATGTTGAAGGTCATGGTTGTATTCTTTCTCATAGATATGTGATTTGTAATAAAACAAAAAAAAAAAAATTCAAGTTTATGCAATTTTTTAAAGCTTATTCAAAAAGATAACTGCATCTAAAATAATCATAACCTATGAGACGTTTTTGACGAAAATCAGCCAAATGTTCACTGATATCATCCAGTGATTTCTTTCTTGCAGAACCAAATATCTTTATCAGTTGATCCAAATCATTATCTGTTGCTTGTGCAGTTGCTGTTAATGTCTGAATAGAGAATTGTATATCAATTTCAAGTATCATAATTAAGTAAAAAAAAAAGATTCGAAAATCATTTTGATTAAAAAAAAAAAAGGAAGTAAATTAAACCTTATCTATGCTTCGAATCAGTGACTGATCAATATTGTCCCATGAGAGTGGTGAGTTTGGTATCAGGAAGGTAGAAAAAATTTCATAAGCCCATTTTCTCAAATCTTTTGGAGGAGCATTGGAATTTTGATAAGCATCCGTAATCAGATAGAAAAACTGAAATTTATTACAAATTAAAAATTTTTTTTTTTTTGCAAATGAATGATTATGATAGAACTTATGCAAGTTGAAAGTAAAATTGAAATTTTCGTCATTTCTAGGAAAATAATTAACTATTATGATTAAAATCATACTACACTGCTTGGATTAGCATTTGCTAAAAGATAGTTGATGAAAGCGGCCAAATGAGCCGGACGTGTTTTGAGGTCAGCAAAATTCAAGAAAGGTCCCTGAGCTTCAAGCTGAAAATAAAATCCCATTCAATGAATGACAAATAATAATTTATCAATAAATTGGTTAAAACTCTAAAGAGAGAAAAATTTGTAAAAGTAAGCGTAAATATATATAAAAAAAAATCAGAATATCGAGAAAAAAAAACTTCATAAAATATGAAAAAAAAAACATATTTAATTGATTTAATTGATTCCGTGCAAAAAATTTCTAAAATTCAAACTTCAATTTATTTTTAAGAATTTTTGATAAGTTAATAACATTGTTGATAAATAGATAACGCCCATCATCTTATTAAAGTATTTCAGTAATATGTTATCTACTTTACACATGGCTTTGTTTGGTTTTTTTTGAAGAATTTTGAAATCTCTTTGAAAAAAAATATGATTTTTCTTTTAAAAAGCAATAAATTGTCAAATTTTAAAATATGCACTTCTCTTTAAAAGCTTATAATCTCTTCCTTGTTTTTTTTTTACTGAAATGGATTGCTTGTTAGTAAGAAGCATGGATACTGAAAATTACTTCTAATTTACGCACCTAAGTAATTAATTCTCATCAATTAATATAATTTATAATACAAATATTAGAAGCTTAATATTTATTGCAAAATAGCAATGAAACATACATTCATTGTCTAAATAGTTATTATAATTGAATTACCAAAAATATGCTCAAACTTAAATTAAAAGCTTAATTTGTACGAATGCAAGCGAATATTATTTTTATAACAAACATTATAAAATAGAGAGGAAAAAAAGGATAATAGAAAAATTAATTAAATAAAAAAATCAGGAAAATGGGAATGGAAGGTAAAAGATTCATTAATAATTTTGATAGAAGTTTTTAATTAAATTTTAAAAAGCAGTATGTATGAATTAGTTATTTCATATGAATTTAAAAACGAAAAGTAATTGAGATGATAATTTAGCTAGAAATCATAATCACTATCAGAATATTCAGTGATATGTGTAATAAATGAATTAATAATGTTAGAGCTAACGTTAAATGGAATTTCGGTACCATCACCATCGGTTTCTTCTTCCATTGCGATAATTTCGATCGGATGAACAAAATGCATACCACCACTATTCACCATCCATTTTTCCTAAATGATATGCTAAATTTTTGGCAAATGATAGATAGAATAGATACAAGAATAAAATTTAACAAAAAAAAAACAATGAAATAAAAAATTGAATGAAAAAAAAGAATGATAAGAAGTGATTAAATATTTAATAGAAAGAATAGAACTTATAAACTAAATATTAATTCATAAATGCAAAAGAAGTTAAGGATTGAGTTTTTTTTTCTTTTTTTTTTTTTTGTATGTACCAAGCTAACTAGTTGTGAAATAGAGATGGAGATTGAAAAGAATGAAGAGAAGTAGTTTTATTTACTTTCAAATTTTGTTTTTCGAAAGCAACAAAATTAACCAATAAAATAAAACTGATTTTTCCTAATTCTCGTACAAATTGCCCGTGACACATAAATATTGATTGCAATTTTTCCAGGAAAATTCCCCAGAGTATTTTTTTCAAAATACTTTCGACATATGCTATTACACCCGATGACCAAAAAAGCTCCCGATTCTTTCTTTCACTTTCTGTTTTTTTTCTTAATCTCTCAAACACCACAACTGCTGCTTCCTTCATATTACTGTTTTTCCACAAAGCTCAACCCTTCCTTTTTCGTTTCCTTTGTTGATTCTTCGAGAATATCCGGAAGTTTCATGTTAGAGAATACACAGAAAGCGCATATATCGTTGTTATGTATTAAAAGCATTAAAATATACTAAGCAACAAATACATTTTAACATTTTATCATTTTTTTATACATTTTACAAAGAAATTGCGTAATGAACCATCCGGAAGTACGGGATTACGATGTGTTAATGTTAAAAATTAGAATTTGAAAAGCTTGTAAAATTTAGAGAAAATAAACTTTCGTCTATCACTGCAACAAAAATAACAATGGAATGGAAATGAAATTAAGGCTTTTCATAAAAAAAAAAAAAAAAATTGTGACTCATACAATGATTGCGATCGACATGATCGAGAAAAAAAAAACACGAAAAATGTTTTACAAATATATATCAGCTTCAAATTCATCCCACACTTTCAATCGAATCTAATTTAATTTGAAACAATAAAGCTCCTTGTTTGATTTAAATTATTTAAAAAAAAAAACAAAAATAAAATATATTAGTATATTTTACTTCATTGCTATATAACGATCTATTAAAGATATCACAACATTCAATAATTTTTTTTTTTTTAATAAAAATACCTGAGTTACAACAGGTTCCATATTTCTAAGTTGATTTTGCAAACTTTCAATACGCTGCAAAGCACGTTCCAACTGTATTCCTTCTACTGAAGTTTCGCGTAAACTCTTAAAAATAAATCATT